AGAAATGAGCCCCTCTAGGAAATATTCTGTAGCAGTATGTCCCCAGTCCAAGGAGAAAATAGGTTTTGCTGGACTTGGTTCTTAAAAAATTAAATGGCTCAATAGATTAGGTATCAGTAGAGAAATATTCAGGTGACAGTGATTGTTGTACCAAAAGGTTTAAAAAAAAAAAATTAAGCTATGGAAAAGGACAAGGAGCAATATCAAATTAGAACAATTAATCGAGGGAAAGTCAAATTCACTGGTGTGAACGTGGCCTAGATAAAATAGAATCAAAAATTTAAGAAAAAACTGTAACTGAAGAAAGGGCTACCTTGAAAGAAGTCGCAGATGCAGTCAAGGCAAGTTCTCATGAAGGTAAAAATAGGCAAACAGTTCAAGAGTTTCCTGGACAGCGTAAGATGAAACCGAAAAAGTGTGCTCAATTGTATTATCCACTTAATAGTGTAGAAGGTTCAGAGGGAATTAACAAAGGAAATGAAGAAATCAAAGAGTAATTGAGGAGAGACAGGCAGACCATATAAAAGGGAATCCAAAAATCTATTAGCATGTAAATAGTATGAGGGTGGTAAAGAATGGTTAGGAACCAAAATGTAGATTTACACACATGGACAGAGGCATGACTCAAGTTACTAGATGAATACTTTGCATCTGTCTTTACCAAGAAGGCACTTACAGGTCCGGTGATGGTGAAAGAATAAGTCATTCAGACACTTGAATGGTTTAAAATTGATAGAGGAGATCTAGGATAGGCTGTATGTACTTAAATTTGATACTGTATTGGGACTGACCATAAAATATAGGATGAAAAGTGGATGATATGCATCCAATGATACTGAACAAAATGAGTGGAAAATTTGGAGATACTGGCAATAATTTAACACTCTCTTCCTTTGACGTTGAGGTCATGCCAGAAGTCTGGGGAATTGAAAATGTTATGTGTTTGTTGAGAAACAGAGTATAGAAATAAGCCCAACAACTGCAGGTCAATCATTTTATCTTTAGTGATGGGAAGCTTCTAGAAATGACAAATCAGAGCAAAATTAATTGTCAGTTTGGGCAAAAAGAAAACCCAGCATGTATTTGTTGAGGGAAAACCATTTTAACTAACTTGTTTTGAATTTTCTGGTGAGATAACAGAAAAGGTTGATTAGGGTAATGATGTTGTTATAGTGTATATTTCAAAAGAGACAATGTGCCGCAGAACAAGCTTTGAACAAAGTTAGAGTGATACAAAGCTGGCCAAGTGAAGGAGTCAAAGTGCAGTGGTGAGCAGTTGTTTTTCAGACTGGAGAAAGGTTTATACAGCAGCTATTGGTGTTAGAATACTGCTGTTTCTCATGTATGTTAATGACCTATATCTTGGCTTACTGGCACAATTTCTAAATTTGTGAATGATATGAAACTTGGAAGTATTGTGATGTGTAGTATAGAACTTCAGAAGAATGTAGACTGGTTCATGGAATGGCCAGACATTTAATGCAGAGAAGTGTGCTTGATTCACTTTGGTAGAAAGAATATGAAGGTACAATACAAAATGAAGGAGCAGAGGAAGGTGGCAGGAGAAGTTATGAGAGTAATAAATAAAGCATATAGCATCCTAGACTTTATCAATAGTGGCATAGAGTATGAAAGCAAGAAAGTTATGTTAAACCTGTATTTAACACTGATTTAGCCAAAACTGAATGGATCCAGGGATAAGAAACTTCAGTTATATAAAAATGTTGAGGAAATTGGAACTGGTCTTTTAAAGTAAAGAATATTGAGATTTGATGAAGGTATTCAAGATAATGAGGTGTTTAGATGAGTAGCTGGGGAAAAATTGTTTCCATTGGTGGAAGGATAAGAACCAGAGGTTGCAGATTTGAGGTACTGGCAAAAGAAGCAATGGAAACAAAATGGGAAATGGGGGATAACAGTGTGGAACTGAAGAAGCACAGCAGGACAGGCAGCATCAGAGGAGCAGATAAGTTGACATTTTGGGTCGGGACCCTTCTTCAGAAATCATTTCAACTAATTTCATCATGTCAACTTTCCTGCTCCACATGAAGGATGTGAATGTAGAAGATACAATTAGTAAGTTTCCAGATGACACAAGAAATTGGGAGTATCGATAGTAAGGAGGATGGTCTCAGGATACAGTCTAACATTGATCAGCTGGTAAATTGGGCAGAGCAATGGCAGATGGAATTTAACCCAATAAGTGCAAGGTAATGCATTCCAGGAGGCCTTGTAAAGGAAAGATATACATAATGAATGGTAAGCCCCTAGAGAGTACTGAGGAACAAAGGGACCTTGGTGAACAGTCCACAGATCCTTGAAGGTGTCAGCACAGGTAGACAGGGTGGTAAAGAATGCACCTGGGATCCTTGTCGTCATTGGCCAGGACATAGAACGTAGGAGCAAGGAAGTCTTGTTGAGACTTTATAAAATATTAGTTAGGTCGCAGGTGGAATACTGTGTGCAGTTCTGGTCGCCTTACAATCGGAAAAATGTGATTGAAAGGAGAGGGCATAGAAGAGTTTCACGGGAATGTGATCTGTCATGAAAAGTTTCAGTTACGAGGAGAGACTTGAAAGGCTGGATGTTTCCCCCCTTGGAGTAGAGGAGGTTGATGAGAGGCATAAACAGAGTAGATCATGAGAATCTTTTTTCCTATGGCAGATGTGCCCAAAACTGAAAAGGGCACAAGTTTAAGGTGAGGATCAAGTGGTTTACAGGAGATCTGAGAACAAAAATCACCCAGAGATTGGTAGATATATAGAACATGCTGCCTGAGAGGGTGGTGGAGGCAAATATTCTTGCAACATTTAAGAAACTTCCGTATGAGTACTTAAAATGCTGGAGCATAGTAGGCAGTGAACCAAATGCCAGTAAATGGGATTAGTGTAGTTTGGTGTTTGTAGGTTGGCATAGACATGGTGGTCTGAAGGACTTGTTTCTGTGCTGTATGACTGTATTGCTACATTGTTTTCTGTCCACAGAATTGTTACAATGGGGAATAGGGCAGGATGAGGGCACAATGCATCCCCATACCCTGGGAAGCTAGGGCAGTGAGCATGGACAGCTGGTTACGGGGAGGTGATGGCCTAGTGGTATTATCGCTGGACTGTTAATCCAGAGACCCAGGTAACATTTTGGGGATGCAGGTTCGAATCCGCCATGGCAGATGGCAGAATTTGAATTCAATAAACATCTGGAGTTAAGAATCTAATGATGACCGTGAATCCATTGTCGATTGTCAGAAAAACCCATCTGGTTCACTAATGCCCATTAGGGAAGGAAACAGCCATCCTTACCTGGTCTGGCCTACATGTGACTCCAGACCTACGGTAACACAGTTGACTCTTAACTGCTCTCGGGGCACTTGGGGATGGGCAATAAACGCTGCCTAGCCTGCGACACCCTCATCCTGTGAATGAATAAAGGAAAAAAAAAAAAAAAGTGTGGTGACCTTAAGGGGAGTGAGAGGAGTGTGCTTTTAAACTCCTGTGTGGGGAGGAAGAAGGAGGGGTACCATCTTCTCCATTTTTTAGAGGGAGATCTCCCAGTCTTAAATGTGCTCCCTCATTCTAGTTGCCCTTACAAGGCAACACATCTTCCCATTCTGCTAAATCTATTAGTTATTGACTCAAACAATTCAACTTTCCTTGATATGCTAAACCCTTCTTCCCAGGAATTAGTTATGAACTTTGGTTATTTGCTTCTAAAGTAAGCATGTCCTTCTTTTTGAAGACGACTCAAACTATATTCCAGATGCAGAGTCTTCATAGATTTGGAGTGAAAATTCCCTATATTTGTATTCTGTTCACATTGTAATAAACAACTTTCCACTTGTCTTCCTAATCACTTGCTGTACCTGCATGATTCACATATCAGGGCACCTAAATCGCAGTATACCACCAAGTTTTGAAGGCTCCATTTAAATGATGTTCTATTTTTTTCTATATTCGTCACATTTATCCACATTAAACCCTATCCACCAACTGTTTTTGTCCACCGTCTTAACTTATCTGTATTCCTTTTGAAAATTCTTTACTTCTGCTTGAAAACTGACTTCCCTACTGTCCTGTTCTGATTCTTATTTTTAAATCTTTCCATGGCGTGTAATGGAACAATTACCTAAAAATACTTTCAAAAACAGCCACGTTTGTCTTGCTTTCAAATTTCTTTCCTTTCTTACTGAGAATCTCCTGGCCTGTAATTTAAAAATTGGAATTAGTATTTTCCGATAACATGCAACTAAATTAAGATTTTATTTCCAAGTCAAATTGTGACTTGATTCTAGTAGCTAGCAATCATCTGTCGACTGTAACTGGTGACATCTGAAGTCAATAATGGAGCAAAACATGTCTTTCACCTTACTTGTAAATATGATAAAGAATAACACATAGGTGCCATAGTTTGGTATGACATTTCCCTATTGTGAAGAATCCTTATTGAGAAGCTGAAAGTCTGAGTTAGAATATTCTAACTCAATGTAAAATCATGAACTGAAAATAAGCAAAGTGAGAGTTAAAAATATGGGATTTCAAGAAAGACAAGACACACAAGTTTAAAAAAAAAAGTTTTACCATTTTTAAACTACAGCAATAATTACAATCTAGTGAAATGAGACTTCTCAAAACAGCAAATTTTCAGTGCCAGATAGGTTGCGTCGCCATAATTAAGAGTTATCATACTGATTAAAATTCACCTGAATGCACAAGCTACAACTTTTTTTTCCTTGTTCAGTGGGCATTTGTGGCTAAGTACCATAATGTCTTTCTCTTAATTTATTTCAATGCTGAATCTCTTGGCAAGGTACCAATGTAACCACTTGTAGAAGAGAAAAATAAATTGTACACCAACTTCTTGACTTTGTGTTTAACTGCCACGTGTAGATACCAGAAGTTCTTCTGAGATTTATTCCATTACAGTAGTTAGCATCAATAACCTCAGGTATTTCTAATTAAAAATCCAGGCAAATTAAGTTAAATTATATTGTTGTTTTTCCTCAGGGAGCAATTCAGGGACCTGAGGAGTTCATGGAAGGAATGGCCTTGGGTGTAAAAGCGTTGGTGGGGGGTGCTGTTGGTATGTATATCCACTTTTTGAAAGAAAACTGATTATGTGTAATTGGTTAATTTTGAAAATGTTGGTTCGCTGGTTAATAGGTTCAGGCTAAATTTTCAAAATGTTTATATCATAAGGCTGTCCTCCAGTTTTATTGAATTTCCAAGTTGCATTGTATTTGAAAATTTTGAAATTCTATAACAATCCTTTAGCTACGATACCACGTGGTCCCAACATTTTCTTCGTCTGGAACAAAGGTTTTATCCCATTTACCCGGTAGGTCTCAGAACTCTGAATTCAAACTCCCTTAAACTCCTTACAGGTTTGTGCCATTGATGAATTGGAATAGAAATTTTTGAAGAATTACCAAATTATTTTCACTGCAGGTATAAGAGCAAAAATTATTCAAGCTTTTATAATGTTGAAAGTCTTAACCTAATTCATATGGAATTTGACGGTTTAGTTTCAAATTCTAACATGATTTAAGGGTTTATTCAATAGAAAACACTGGTAGACAGCATTTACTATAATGCATCCTTCATTGAGGATGTTGTGGGAAGCATGTCAACATCGTGGACTGGTTAGGTCTTTGAGAGTTCAGAGTTGATAAATGCTGATGAAGCAAATCAGTAAAAATTGGTCAGCGAGTCAGTAAGGGAGGACACCAAAGTTTTTAGTTTTGGTAAATTTTCTACATGAGGGCTGTACAGACATGGAGAATCTTCCCCAGGGCAAATAGGAAGCAAAACACAACTAGGTTTTAAAAGAGAAAGTGTATAAATTTGGAAAATGAAAATGTGAAGACTATAGGGATAAAAATGGAAATAAGCAGATCATTCCTTCAGAGCATTGAGTGGCAGCCCTCGGACTGCAAAATTTTATATGGTAACCTGCAATATTAATGTTAACATGGAAAAATATCCTGGATCACTTTTGTGCCAGTGCAGTCAGACGAAAATTAAAACAGGCTGAGGGAGGAGTTATTAGAAGGGTAACTAAAAGCTTGTTCAAGGAGATGTGCTGAAAGACCGTGATAAAAGGAGGAGGAGGAAATTTAAGAGCGCGAGGCCCAAAACAGCTAAAGGCTCAGTAACTAAATGTGGAAAGAAATGAAGATGCAAAGAGATTATTCTAAATTATGCAATAGGATTGCTATTGTGAGACGGGATGATAATGGCAGTAGCCAGAACAGTGGCAGCATGATTGGCTCTGTTGTACAGTAGTGCGGGTGAAAGTGCAGGCAAGGAATGGTAGTTGGGAACTTGATTCTTAGAGGCACAGACAGGCAGCTCTGTGGCTGCAGATGAAACTCCAGTGTGTTTCCTCCCTGGTGTCAGGGTCAAGGATGTCTCTGAGCATGGTCAGCACATAGCGAAGAGAGCGGGTAAACAGCCAGTGATTGTGGTAAGCATTGGTACCAATGACATAGGCAAGAAGAATGATGAGGTCCTGCAAGGAGAGTTCAGGACTTAGGCCATAAGTTAAAAGCAGGACCTCCAGGGTTGTAAGCTTGGAATTACTTCCCATGCCATGTGGTAGTGAGACAAGGAATAGGAGGATAGTACAGCTTAACATGTGGCTGAAGAGCTGGTGCAGAGAGGATGGTTTCAAATTTTTGCGTGATTGGGATCTCTTCCAAGGCAGGTGGGACCTATGCATAGACGACAGGTTGCATCTTAACTGGAAGGGCGCCAACAATCTGGCAGGGAGGTTTGCTAATGCAACTCAGGTGGATTTAAACTAATAAGGAAGGAGATGGGAGCCAAAGTAGCAGGTCAGAATTTGAACAGAAGGTAGCGGTTAGAAGAATAAACGGGCAGGGCCAGTCTAACGACCATGGCGAAGAAAAGAATCGTAAAAGATCAAAATGTGAGTTGAAAGTTGGAGTAAATGATGGAGATGAGGTTCAGTGTTATCAGGGATTAATAAATAAGGATGAAGAGTGTGGAAAGTGTAGTGCACAAGATATTAAAAGAGAAAGACGAATCAGTAGGACCAATTTAAAAACCTTGTACCTAAATGCACACAGTTTTTGGAGTAAAGTTGATGAGCTGATGGCACAGATAGAGACAAATGGGTATGACCTGGTGGGGATTACTGAAACGCAGTTACAGGAGGTTCACATCTAGCAGTTAAATGTCCAAAGGTACTCGATATTCTGAAGGGATAGACAAGAAGGAGCAAGAGGTGGAGTTACTTTCTTGGTTAAAGATGATATCTAGGCTGCATTAAGAAATGATATTGATATTAGGGAACAAAATATTGAATCAGTCTGGGTGGAAATAAAAAGCAAGGGAATAAAGAAACCCCCTAGTGGAAGTAATTTACGGGCCTCTGAACAGTACTTCTGAAGTAAGGCATAGTACAAACCAAGAAATAATGAGGGCTTGTGAGAAGAGCACAATGGTAATTGTGGGTGATTTTAACTGGATTAGTCAACTTGGAAAGGGTAGCCTCAACGAAAGGTTCATAGAGTGTGTGAGGGATTGTTTCTTAGAGCAACATGTCTTGGAGCCAACCAGAGAACTGGTGACTTTTGATTTGGTATTATGTAATGAGGAAGAATTGATAAATGGTCTTGTAGTTTAGGATCCTCCTGGAAGGAGTGATCACAAGTTTTAAATTCAGATTGAAAGAGTGAAGACAGAATCGCATATGAGAGTTTGTGTTGAGCAAAGGTACTGGTACAGGCCTGAGGAAGTAGTTGGCCATAATGGACTGGGCAAAAATATTAAAGGGCAGGACAGTTGAAGATCAGTGGCAAATGCTTAGGGAGATACTAAATAACTCATCATTAAAGTATATTTCTGAGAAGAAGAGGAATTGTAAAAAGGTGAAAAATTATCCATGGCTTAACAAGGATCTCAAGGTAACATAAAGGCAAAGCCTAGGGCGTATCATACTGCAAAAGTTAGTGGCACTCTGGAGGAATGGGAGAATTTTAAAAAAAAAAATTAAAAGAACTAAGATGAACTACGGAGGGAAACTAGCAGAAAACATGAGCACTGATACCAAAAGCTTCTCTAAGCATATAAAAACGAAGGGAATAGTGAAAATAAATCTTAGCCCTTTACAGGACGAAAGTGGTGAGGTAATAATGGGAAAGTCAAATGGTAGAGGCACCAAACCAATATTTTGTCTCTGTTTTCACAGTGGAAGCTAATTTCTTCCCAAAAACTGCAGTTACTACAGAGGAACTTGGTGAAATTACTCTAACTAGGGAGCAGGTATTAAGTAAATTGATGGGATTCAAGGCAGATAAGTCCCAGGGCCTAATGGCCTGTGCCCTAGGATGTTAAGGGAAGTGGCAACAGAGATAGTGAATGTGTTGGTTATGATATTCCAAAATTCCTTGGATTCTTGGACAGTCTCGAACAAGAGGTCGTAGATATAAAGTGAGAGGAGGTAGGTTCGGAACTGAGATGAGGCGAAACTACTTCTCTCAAAGTTGTGAATCTGTGGAATTCACTGCCTTAGAGTAGAGGGGAGGCAGAATTAATTTCTTTCTTGAATCTGATAGGTATATTTCGTGTGAAAAGGGCTGTGGAGAGCAGGCCGGAAAGTGGAGTTGAGACCAGGATAAGATCAGCAATTTTCATGTTAAAGGAACCTAGAAATTATGAGCGGGAGTGGGCTTGAAGGGCTGAATTACCTCTGCCCGCTCCTAATTTCTATGTTCCTAGACTGAGGTAGCATAGAGAAGATAGTGACACTGACCGTTCTGGAGCACAGGAGATTGTTAACCTTTTTCTTGAACGGCTGTTCAATGACCCAAGTCACTACCTCAGTCCATGCTGGCTGAGACTTGTGGGATGGCTTCCTTTGTTGGTCAGCTGAAAAAGCACTACCATGGTCATCTTTTACAAGGGATGCTTTTTTATTTTCAGATTTTCTTTCAAAGGTATTATTGCAGTGGTTGCGCTTAAACGTAGATTGTACTTCTCTATGACTCTAAATTGCCCTGTGGTGGTAATTTGGTTAAAGAAATTTGGAAATAGAAAAGCATTCCTTGTAAAAGTTAGCTTTTAGTTTTGAAAGAACAAGGGCAGGACATGCATGCGAACACCACCATCTTCTATTTGCTCCCCACAGAGCAGTAAATAAATACTTTAAAAAGTATATTAATATACAACAAATATGTTCATTTGTAAAACATTTGAAATTATCATGCACGCAGTTAGTTCATACATCAGTATTAATTTATTTTCATCACAACCACCATTACAGTCTTAAAAGCCTTCCATCAGTGGAAGGTTGCAATGTTAAACTGCTGGACTGCAAGTTTTAAATGTTTCTTCACAGTAAATTGAAGAGTGATGACTACAAAGATGAAAGCGAGCTTAGATTATCAGTCTTTATTGGATGAATTTGCCTGAGGGTTCTTGAAATTACATTTGCAAATAAATTAATATCAATTTATAGAAAAACTGGAAATACTGTGTATGGTGAAATCCATGAAAGGTAAAACAAATTGGGGAGAATCTATAATTGAATTCACTGTGAATCAACATTCACTAAAATAGAAAAAGAAAGTACAGTCAAACAAGAAAGTGGGAAAAGAGGGATTTAACTCCTCCTACTCATGTTATAACACAATTTGTACAATAAGTTATAAAGAATAATTAGTAGTTTTTTGCTAATTTAATGACTTCAGAAAAATCTTGAGTCCTAAATTTGAATCTTGCGATTTTATTTGATATAGTGTCCAAATCAGTTCCTTAAATTTGCATTGTTTACAAATCCTACACAGTCATTATTTGACCTTACATTCCTTCACATTTGTAACTTATTATAATGAATATAAATGAGTAAATTGAAGAATTGTACATCATTTTAGTAATTATAAATTGTTCTTACAGGTGGTATTGCAGGTGCTGCTTCTAGAATAACTGGTGCAATGGCAAAAGGTGTAGCTGCTATGACAATGGATGAAGAGTACCAGCAGAGGCGTAGGGAGGCCATGAACAGACAGCCAAGTGGGATTAAAGAAGGCATTACACGTGGAGGAAAAGGCTTGGTGTCGGTAGGATTTGCTCAATTACTCCAACTGCCTCCGACCCAACTATTGCCCCACTTCTCCCAATATAGTGCATGACAGAGAAGCCTATGTGTACAGAAACAGGAGTAGGGTATTTTAGCCCCTTGAGTCTGTTCTTCTATTGAATAAAATTATGATTGATTTGTGACCTAAATCCGTATATCTGACTTTGACCCTATATCTTTGGATAACAAAATTTGAGCATTCTCAGGTTTAAAATTAACAATTAGCTTAGAACTAACTGCAATGAGCAGAAGAATATTCTGAGTTCTACCACATTTTCTATCTTTTGGGCTTTCCCAAGTTGTTAACTCCCATCCTTCTTTACCCTATCAGTTCCCCTTAATATTTTGAAATCATGAATCAAATCTCTCCTTAACCGTACATTGCAGGAAATATAAACATTTTTTTAATCCCTATCCTCCCTTTACTAAATGGCTAATTTAGGCCTTATAATTTAGGTATCATTCTGGTTGATCTATAAAAACAGCGAACAAGTTGCATGCTACTGTGTAACGTTTATTGGTAGAGGCAAAAATGGGTCATTCAGCCTCCGAGATCTGTTGTATTATTCGGTTAGATCATGGCTAATCATAATCGTAACCCCATCTAGCTATCTTGGCTCTGTAATCTTAATATCCATGCTTACAATAAGTCTGTCAATCCTCTTGTTGAAATTTTAAATTTACCAAGGAAAATATCTTTCTAGAAGGGAGATTTCCCAATAAGTTTGTTATGAAGGAATTCCAGAGCTGAGAACCTAGGTTGCTGAAAGTTCAGCAACAAATAAGCTAGAATGATCAGAGACGCCCAAGTTGGTGAAATGCAAGATGTTTAGTGGGACTTTAGGGCTGAAAGAGGTTACAGAGATAGGGAGGGATGAAGACATAGAGGGATTTGAAATCAAGGATAAGAATTTTAAAACCAAAGGCAACGTTTAGCTAAGAAATAGTGTAGATGATTGAAATTGTCTTAAAACGCTGGAATATTGTTTTGTGTTCCAAGCTCAACAATTTAGGAAGGCTGTAAAGGCCTTGAAGAAATTTAAGATTTGACCCATTGGAATGGTACTGGGAATGAGTAACCTCAATTATACAGAGTTTGGAGAAGCTGGGGTTATTATCTTTGGAGCACAGAAGATGAAAGACTAATTTAGTGGATGGTATGAGTCTTTAAGTAAATAAGGATAAACGTTCCAGTAGCAGAAAATACAGATTTAAGGTGAATAGCAAAAAAATGGTAGTTTGGAGATAACTCTATTTAATAGGCCAAGCAATTGTGATCTGGAACGTACTTCTGTCGGTGAGTTTAAAAGAGATTTTATTGCAGTATCCAAAGAGAATTTGATGAATATTAGAGGGGAACAATAATGACACAGCTATGGGAAAATGGGATCAATTACATAATTCTTTTAAAATCTGGTATAGGTACAATAGGCCAAATGGTATCCTCCAGTGCTGTATTTTTTCAATGATTGTACCTGTACCAAGGTATTCATCACCTTTATGACATTAAAATTTAGGAAATAATCCTGTTGGTGGCACTGGCATTTGCTCAGCAGCATTACTTTTAATAAATCTGCTCTATCAAGCTTTCCATTTTCCCTGACTAAGTTGTATCTTGATTATAATTAGTTTAGGGTCATTGCTTAATTGTGAATCACCAACCCTGAATGGGTGTGGAATGGTCTTAAACCTGATCTATTGCTTATGTATTCATGGGATGTTGATGTTGCTGGCTAGGCTAGCATTTATTGTCCATTCCTAATCGCCCAGAAGGCAATTGGAAGTCAACCACATTGCTGTGGGTATGGAGTCACAAGAAGGCCAGACCAGATAAGGACAGTAGACAGTGAACTAGATGGGTTTTTATGACAGTTGACACTAGTTATGTGGTCACTATTAGGCAGCTTTATAAATTGAATGCAAATTTCACCGAATGCTCTTCTGGGATTTGAACCCATGAGTCTAGGCCTCTGGATTGAGTGCAGTGACAAAATCGCTAGGCCATCATCTCTCCTAATCACTCAACTGTGTAGGATGCCATTTTCTCTGTTTAACATGCTTGAATTCTTATGTTGTAGTTTCACTTGCATCTCATTTCGGACATGCCACATGCTGCTCCCAATATTCTTTTTACAGCCATTATTAAATCAAGATTGGTCATCTGGTGATATGAAAAGTGACAGAAAAGCCAGGCCTTACATTTACACATTGTGGTAATGTACAGTTCTGCCATTATGGTATATAATGGCCCAAAGAGACTTTTGGGTGGATGGATGGATGAATAGATTGCTGAAGCTGGGACAGTAGAAAAGGGAAAATTAAGAGGAAGATTCATAGAGATGTCCAAAATCATGAGAGGTCTGAACAGAGTAGACAGGAGAAATTGGCAGAAGGATCAAAAGCCAGAAGATACTGATTTAAGACGTTTGACAAAACAACTGGAGGCAAAAAGAGGATCTTTCAAGGCAGCAAGTTATTAGATTCTTGAAGGTACAGACTGAGACTGGTGGAGGCAGATTAAATTGTGGTTCTCACAATTTAGTGGCTGAAATATTTACATTTGCCTTTTATTTCATTTGTTCAAGGGAGTTGGACATTGATGGATAAGCCAACATTTATTATACATGCATGATTGCTTGTAGGAAATGGTAGTGGGCTGCTTTCTTGAACATTTGTTGTCCATTGGGAGTTGGTAGGCTCGCTTGTTGTTAGGGAGTTGAGGATTTTAAACACAGCAGAAATCTTGGTGTGTGGCTTGGAGGGGAATTTGCATTGCATGGCATTCCTATGCATCTGCCATTGTCTTCCAGATGGCAAAGGTCACAGATTTAGAAGGAGCTGTCACAGAACCTTGATGAGTTTCTGCTGTGCATCCTGTAGATGGTATACACTTCAACCACTGTGCCTCAGTGGTGGAGGGAATCAATGTTAAAACTGGTGAATTGAGTGCCAATGAATTATGTATAAAATCATGCCTTTTTTTAGCCAATATCTCCTCAGCAAGACAGTTCCATTAAAAGAAAGCAGCACAGCAGTATAAAGACAAGGGATAGGTGGTGGAATTAAAGTAATCCTGGGAGTTAGCAAATGAATTAGTACTGCATGCTGAACATCAGTTGAGGGAATTACTGAGGGTAACAAGTGTACATAATTTCAATGCCCATGAAGATTGCCTTGGTAGCAATTGACAAACAGCATGTGAAGCAGATTGGGAGTGAATCAACATAAAACCCTATAGTGCGTGTACTAACCTTCACCAACTAAGATACCACAGATAAGCTTGTTCATGACAGTATTGCTGGAATCACCACTGCACAGTTAATGTGGAGATCAAAGGCTGGATTCTCATGCCTGTCCATATTGGAATGGAGGCACGCTGGCTTAAAAACATGGCAGAATGTGCCTGATTCCAGGCTTCATACCCCCATTCCTATCACAATCGCTTAGTAGTCCAGGTTAAGGATGCAGATGGTGAGCCCACCTGCAACTGTCTGTTGCTTGCTACATTCTGGAAGCAGCATTCCAGACCTCTTGTAATTTTAACGAAGTTGGGATTTGCCACTGGAGATTTTATAGCTCACTTGAGCCAAGAGGTGTCAAGATTAATGAAATATTATATGATAAGGCAGATATGTTTTTACTGCAGTATTTGATGATAGGGCTTTGCTCTTAAAAGATAAATAATGATTAAATTGATTACTATTGCGAAAGTGGAACATTCTTCAGATGCATTAGGTTACATGATACACTGGATGAAGTTTTCCTCTGTATTGAACAAAATTGATGCTTAGGTCAGACTGCGTCAGTTATCTTAATATTTCTATGAAATGGCAGTCAGACATCTGATTCTCTGCTTCAAAGCCAAAGCAGATGATTGAACTCCTTCAATGACTTTACAAGTGTTAATGCATTTAGCTTTGGAGATTTTGTTGACACAGCTGTGTAATAGTACCAGATACTTCTGCTGCAGAATTAGCCGTGTTGATTCCATACGCCAGGATTGCATTTAACCAAAACACGTGGAAAATTTTCCAGGTTTGCCCTGGCCATAAAAGAGAAAGTCCAACCCAGCCAATTAGTCTATTCTTGATGAGGAAAGTAACAGAATGAGTCATTGAGAGTGTCACTAAGTGGCATTTGCTCATCAATAATCTGCTTGATGATGCTGAATTTATGTTCCACCAGAGTTCTTGAGCTCTTGCCCTTATTACACCCTCTGTTTAAACATGAACAAAAGAGCTAAACTCCACAGTTGAAGCGAGAGGGACTGCTCCTGGAAGCAAGGTGGCTTTTGATCAAATATGAAATTCGGGAGCACTTGGGATAAAAAACTCTTTGATGTTTGGAGTCATACTTCGCATAAAAGAAGTTGGCCGTCATTGTAGTATTTGCACCACACAAGTGGCAGGCAATGGCCATCTCCAATAATGAAATCAATTGATGGTGGGATAGCTTTTCTACCTTTGACACTATTTTCCAGATTTTAGTGAATAGGGAAATGCAGGTTCTGCTGGCCTGTGTGTCTCTTTGTAATGTCCAGATTTGAATGCTGAGATCACAGGTGGCACAGCTGAGCAATCCAGTTTTAATATTGTTATCCTATCTAGGGGTTTTATATTGTGGAGTGCCTTGCTAGGGCACTTTAGAGCATTGTTAAGAGCCAATCACGTCGGTGTGGAACTGCAGTGAGAGCAGATTTTGTTTTGGTGAACCGACAGGGTTTTTAGGATAACATACTACTTCAGCATTTTTTGTTTTATTGATGTCAGGTCTTGTATGTGGATTTTATTCTTTTAAAAAATGAATTCAAAATTTCAGACAGCTGGTGAGATTTAAAGTCATGGCTTTTCAATTATTAGTCCAAACATCTGGATTACTAGTTCAGTATGTAAGCACTATGCAACAATCTATGCAGTTGGAGATTCCTCTGGTTGCAAGTCAATTCTCTCAAATATGGCATAATTCAGTAATAATTAATTAAGAGTTTAAGTTGTGGTTAATTCTTTTTCTTATCTTTTTAGGGCTTTGTGAGTGGAATCACAGGAATAGTGACAAAACCTATTAAAGGTAAAAAGAAAAATATCATGATGATTTATCCAGTTTTAAATGTTCATAGTTACGGAAATTTATATTTTAATTTCATAGGTGCACAGAAAGAAGGTGCGGCTGGTTTCTTCAAAGGCATTGGCAAGGGCTTGGTTGGAGCTGTTGCAAGACCAACTGGAGGCATCATAGACCTGGCCAGCAGCACTTTTCAAGGGATAAAAAGGTAAAATATCGAGTGAAATCATATCTGGACAGAATCATCTTTGCATGCCATAGATCCTGATAGTGGAACTGTAAGTGCATAGCACTTCTGCTCAAAGCAGCTGACCACATGAAATTACCTAGTGTCAAGCAAATTAGACATGTAGATGTCAACACCCTGGCCTATGATTGAAGGTCCATGTAACATATTTGAACAATCCCCAGCTAGGCATCCGCTCTATCCCATCTTGAGCATTAGTCTGACTGTTTATGTGGAGATTATAATCCTCTGGATTTGCGGGCATTTGCACAGCTATGTATCAAGATCAGAAGCCTAATTTTGGCTGGGATCTGGATGCATTGAGGATGACCTAGGTGTGGCTGGTACCTTGCTCCATCACTCTTGCCCTGCCTTCGGTGCTCCTGTTCAAACTTGACTAACTATCATTCACCCTTAGAACTTTTCTCCTTCTACCTATTTCTATCCATCTGCCTGCTGACAGTAGAACTTCACTAATGCCCGTTAGGGAAGGAAACTGCCATCCTTACCTGGTCTGGCCTACATGTGACTTCAGACCCACAGCAATATGGTTAACTCTGAACTGCCCTCCATTCTTAGTGTACCTGCCATACACTCTCCTGCTTCAACAAAGTTCTCTATAAGAAAAGCAGCTCTTACTCTGTCCAAATCCATCAGGAGGTCAACTTCACTGCTGTATGCTTCCTTTAACCAGTCATGAATCTGAATGCACATGTTTTTTGTTTGGTGCATAATTCCAAAGGTAGAAACACACCTCATCTTCCGCTTACAGGAGTTGTACAAGATTTCACTCTTTGTTTCAAAAAGATTGAATTCTGCACAGTTTTCAAGCGGGTTTTGTCATGTTTTTTTGAATTTTACATAGTCCAGAAAAGAATCATAGAATCCCAGCAATGTAGATAGAGGCCATTCAGCCCATCACCTTAGCATCGACTCTGCAAAAAGCATCCCACCCAGACCCACCTCATTTTTTTTTTTTTTTTTTTTTAACCTAGCCTCCACATCCCTGGTTGCTACAAGCCAAATTTAGCGTGGCCAATCCAACTAACCTGTACATCCTTGGACAATGGGAGGAAACTAGAACACCCCAGAGGTAACCCACACAGACAGGGGTAGATTGTGCAAACAACACATAGTCACCCTACTGTTTCTTATTTCCAGCATCTGCAGTGCTTTTTTTTTTGTTTTCGAAAGAATTGAGCAAGTTGGCCTTGGCGAGCTGCTTGTGGCCTTAATGCCACATCATCAATTAGGTGCTACATGAGAATGTACATGGAAAACCATCTCAACTCACCACTAATTAAGTGATCAATCACCAGCCAATTCAGAGTCTCAAATCATATAGTGGGCGTTGCCTCCATTCGTCTCAAATGGAAGCCAACTTGAAGCCAGCTGGGGGCTGAGATGAGGGAAATAGGCTTACTGCTGAAGTCCCTGCTCATGCTTCAAATCTCCATGACCAAAAGCCCCCACCCCCTGCCGCCAGGTCTGTGAGAAAGAAAAGTGTGTTACTTCTCGCTATTTTACCCTCTAAAGCCAGAACCTCCAATGATCTTGATGCCTTTGCTTGGCCAACCATTTCTGGTGAGGTGGAATATCAGTTTTGACACTCAGGATTCTCCAAGAATGTCTTGGTCAGCTCTGAAGTTGATTGGAGCTTGATCTAATGAGCTGAATCGCTGGTTGCCTCCACATTTATTGCATGGAGTACTAAATCCTGGCATAAGCATTTTCAAGCTGCTTACTGGAAGATGTTAGAAATGTATTTGGAAACATGTTTAAGTTTGAAATTCAGTTTAGTGCACAGGGGTGTTCTGTTATTATATTGTTGGTACCATTGTCCTATCGTTGTATACTGGCAAAACAAAAAACATGGATGACGCAATTGTGCATACTGATTCAGTTACAAGTAACTGAGAGAGAATTTCCATTGGTTGAAAGGTAGTATAATTTATATTTTGTCTTCTCAACCCAAGCTTAGATCTTGAAATGCTATGATGTGTAAGACGTATCTGCTCAGAGTTTTGGGTTGTTACAAATTTGACAACTGTAAAGTAATATTCATAATATTCACATTAATATTTGTGTAATTTAGGTAAGAATACATAATCAATATTTAGCTCATCCAACCTGAGAGAACCTGTGGTTCCCTCAACATCTCCGTATAAAACTATTGCATAATTCCAGAACATCGCCTACAATTTGCAATCCTGCTTCACACAGTGATCTCACTACTTCCAGTAGTCAGTCCTATAGTTGCCTTTGGTCATGTGCCTCAATGCCTACTGTTACAGCCACTGACTAGCTTATAATTCAATACAATGAATATTTCTTGTTGAGTTTCTCCAGTCATTCGTAATAAGTGACTGTATCATGCAATGCCTTATCTGTATAGTCTGAAATCTTTGTATCTCAGCAACAGAAGTTTTAGGTGTGATCACACTATATCCCTTTCTCTGATATGTACCGATTTAATAAAATCATAGAAATTTAACAGAGGAAGGAAGCCATTTCAATCTGTAGCATCTGTGCTGCTACTTCTGTGTCTTTCATTTTTTTTTCTCTCAAATCTCCCATAATCCCATGACCTCTTTACTACTATACACTTTCATCTGTAATATTTTGGTGAGTTGACACAGCATATTTTTCATCACTACAGTACCTCTCCTGCAACATAGCACCCAAACTACGCAAAGTAGTGCAAATGCTGAATTTTCTAACAGCTCATCACTTCTTTCTTTCTAATGCCTTTGTTGTCACCAAATGTAAAATCTAAAATATAGTTTGCTCTTTTAGTTTACATTATCAAATTGCTAATAAATGTTTGTGTATCTCTAACTATATATATTGAAATTTTATTGACTTCTTTCTTAGATCATCTGTTGTCGTGATGTACTCTGTTCTTCCTTCATTATTTTTGCAAATTTTGTTACACAGTTTAGTAATCTGTTTATTTTGTTAATTGGTTCTTCAAACAGTTTTTGTATGTTCAACACTGAGCCAAATGCAAATGCAAAAAAAAATTTCAGCTAACTTGACATGTTTTCTTGATTACTGATGATGCAAAGGGTTTTTTTCCCATATGTGCAGCTGATCTGTATTGAATTTTATCCATTGCTGGTCTGTCCACTAATTATTATATTATTTTGTAACTTCTACACTATCTTCTGAAGGTTAAACTAAAACTCCTGAGATTTGAACAATTTGTACTGAACTGTGAAATCCAAATTGCTCATGTAAGTTGGAAATTGCCCTCAGATTGTCCCAAATTACTTTGCATCCAGTATGAAAGATAAATGTTCCCAAGACACTAGCTTTTTTTCTACCTGAGATGAGGCTTTGGCTCAATACTCTATCAGGAAGATGGTATATTTAATATGTAGCATTCCCCTCACTGAAATGTCAGCTTAGAATGTGTGCCAAAGTCATGGAATCGGGCATAACTTTACTAACTTGTGATTCAAGAAGCAAGAACAGTACATTGCAGAAAGAGCCTTTGTAAGAACATCAGACAGTAGAAGCTGAATCAAACCACATTGCCCTGTTGAGTATGTTCTACCATTCAATGTGATCATGGTTGAATCTCCGATGCAACTTTACTTTCTTGTTCATTCAAAGTAATTCTTGATTCCCCAAGAGATTAAAAACTTAACCTTGAATGTATTTAATGATGGAGCATGAGCACCCCTTCAGAGAATTTGAAGATTTAGAATCCCTGAGTGACTGCATTTTAACACATCTCAATCCTAAATAGTCGTCCCCTTATCCTGAGGCTATGACCCCATGTTCTAGATTCTGCAAGATTGTGAAACAATTCCTGTGTCTATCACATTAAGACCTTACCTTCAGCATTTTGCATGTTTCAATGTGGTTGCCTTACTGATTCTTTTAAATGCCCAAAAAAGTATAGAATTTACTCAAACAACAGGCCTATCTGGACAAAGGTACCTGTGAGCCAACATTCACGCTTCTAAATCTGTCTCCCATACCCAGTCAAAATATAGAGTTAGTTTTTCATGTATTTGCATATCTACCACTGGGATAAGGGGCACAGAAACAAAGTGCTGGAGAAACTCAACCAATCTGGCAGCATCTTCTGTGTGGAGCTGGAAAAACACAGCAGGCCAGGCAGTATCAGAGGAGCAGGAAAGTTGACGTTTCGGGTCAGGACCTAAGAAGGGTTCCTCCAACTCCACACTGTTATCTCTGACTCCAACATCTGCAGTTCTTACTATCTCTGAGCATCTTTTGTGTGATGTCTGATTGCATTCAGCAGAATTTTCCACCTGATTTTCATTGACTCTAGTTTTGCTGGGGTATCTTGATGGTCACTTGTCAAACACTGCCCTGATGTTGAGGACAGCAACTCTTATTTCACCTCTGGAGTTGAGCTGCTCTACCCATGAGATCATAAGCTGAGCAACCCAAGTTGAACTCAAACTGAGGGTCAGAGAATAGATTATTGCTAAGCAAGTGTCCTTTGATAACACTGATGATGACCCTTTCTGTCATTTGGGCTGGGCAATAAATGCTATTTGAGCCACCAAGACCACATCCTGTGAATGAATAAATGAAAATAAAAAGCTATAAAATGTGTCACAGGAGAAGTCAATTTAAACTACTCAATTATTTATTCATATTATGGTTCAAGAGGTTATGCAAAACAAGTACAGGCTACAATGTTTTTGAGTTTTCTAATCCACTTCAGATTGAAATTGATGACATACATTTGCTGTTGGCATGTCTAATTTTTAAAATATAGATTAGCTTGAAGATGGTTTTCACTTTATTGTAGAAATTTCACATGCGGAGAATATTCAGTGACTCTAGTAGAATACATTAATTATTAAAGTTTATGAAGCTGGTTCACCAAATGAAGCAGTAGTTTTCTCACTATCCGTAATATAGCTGAGGCAATTAGTTTGGCTCAGTTGGCTCGATGGCTGGTTTGCAATGATTCCAATAGCATCAATTCAATTCCCACACCAGTTGAGGTTACCATGAAGGACTGTCCTTCTCAACCTGTTCCTCCACCTTAAGCCACCACAAGTTGTGTCTCTGTAATAAAAGTGCAGTCTATGGTTTGATAGGACAATTGGAACTTTACTTGAAATAAACCTAAAGGAAGTCACGGACCAATTCTCACGGTGTGTCATGAAAACTCATGAATGGGCCTAAAAGGTGGTTCTAAAAGGTGCCCAGTCTTCCTCGTACTACACTGAAGGATATGGTATCTCAAAAGTTTGCTGCGTGGTGTTTGCTAATAACAAGAGCTATGCAAAGCCAAAAAAAATTTGCCTGTCTCAAGTGAGTAATAGTGTATATGAATTCCCATCCTGGAGTGATGCTAGGTATGAGGGCAGTATGTCTCAAAGACTGGCAGATCATATCAAACAACATATCTTTTTGGCTTTTCACAACAATGAACATACTGACAGTATCCAACCAGTTGTGCTTGTAAAACTCTCGATACTGTGTCCAGTATTAGATAATATTTCATGATTGCACATAATTTACTAAATAATCCCAAGTGTGCAAAGAATTATACTGACGACTTTGAACTGACAGTCCAGATTGAAATGTAACATGCTTGTATGTACTAGAAGCTACAATATGGTAAAACACAGGATTCTGTTCTCTGAAGACAGAAAGAGCATGTACAAAAATACTTTGCATGTTTCAACACCTCAAAATAGATGACAGCCATTCCCTGACTCATATTTATTGGAGTAATGCCTTGACAAATCCGAGTTAAAATGCTTTGTTTAAAGTTTAAACAAGACTTGGCAGTTAATCCATTATCATAGCAAGCATTCTACCAATCACTGTCCACTTACCAACCAATCAGCATTCTCTTTTCACACACTATAAACGTTGTTTCCCTTTACTTTTGTACCTATGAATTACATTAATGTGTGAAAGACAGAAAGCTTCAAAATCTCTTTTTCTTCAGCGCTGGTGACATTACGGTCTACCAAATGACTAACCGTTCAGTAGTGTTCATCCTAATATTTGTGCAAATTTCTATTTGCATGGAAGGGATGCTTCACTAGAAATTTTAAGACCCTAGGAGATTACTTTTCACATTTGAAAATTATTCACGTTTCCTCATTTTTGATAGAGCTACAGAAACAACAGAAGATGTTGAGAGTCTTCGTCCACCTCGATTTATCCATGAAGATGGAGTAATTAGACCGTATAGGTTGAGAGAGGGAATTGGCATGCAAATGTTACAGGTAATTTTTTTTACAGTTACTTGACTGCATTTACTGTACAAGGATTTTTTTTGGATTTCTTAATTCTGTATTCATTAAGTTTTTTTTTTAGATAAGTGTATGTTTCAGCACTGCTTGATATATGTACAATTTGTACTCAGTATAACTGATATTGGGGACTGTGAGCTTAAAATACTTTTCCAGTAAAAGACAGCAAAGAAAACTACAGTGAAACTAACCAGTTATTTTACTTCTTTCCCTCTTTACCATGCTTGCAGAAAGGAAAGGCCTGCAAAGAATGGAATAGGTTGACCATGCTGATGATTAATCTGATCAAATTGCTGTATATCATCAATGCATGCATTCATAACAGTCCAGTTGTCTGCAGCCAATACCATCAGTGGTCCTGTTAGTGTCTTACTGTTCTATGATTTTTTGTTTTTAGTTGAAAAGGTGCATACTGGACAATACATAGGGATAGACAGAAACGGACAGCATACCTGTATTCTTGAACATTTCCAACTAAAATCAATGCAAGTTGCACAAATCAAAGAAGGCTAAGAAGAGAATTTTGCAGAACATATTTTTAGTGTAGGACATTGTTCTGTCAGTGTTTGTTTAATCCCACTTTTGCGATTTTAATTTGGTTCATCCTCATCTTCTATTGCTGTTTCTAATTCTGTGATAAGTTTTGTAGTTTGTATTTGATAAGAATTGCATACAAAACTCCAGGTAATTGTACAATTGTGAAGATACTGTAATAAACGTTTTGTCCAATTCTTATAGTTCCTTTCATATCACTCATGACAATGCTTTTCCCTGTTGAAATCCTACATCGTTGCTTTTTAATTCACAATAGTTCTGCAACTAATAAAATCATAACATGCAAAAAATGGCTTTTTATAATTTCTGCATAAATATATATTAAGGTTTGAATGTGAAAATGTTTTTAGCACTCGTATGTTATTCTATCATTTCATTTTAAATTGATTAACTTCTACGAAAGTGTGGCCAGTTTTAAAAAGATATTTCATTGTTCTAGCTCATTATTTTTACAGTGAGATGCCCTTCATAAAGTGAGAGATAACTTCAGGTTGGCCTAGTTATTCATTTTTGAGCCATCAAGTTCTGACAGATGTAGTGTGTTTTCCAACTTACTCAAACCCCCAAATTAGATGTTTAACTGGTTTGAACTGACAACCTTAGTTGAAATGCATTTAGTCAATTCAGGATTTATGCAAGTAATGAGTGGGGATTGTGGTTGGTGGCAGAAGGATTAGATAATAAAAGCAAATCGTGCTGACATCACTGCAACAGCTGTAGATAAAGCTCAATATGGTGGGTCTCTGTGGAGTGAGTTTTATGTCAAATTGATCAATTTCTGAAACCTTTGTTTTCCAGCAAGAGGAATGTCCCCTGGTTTCAAAGAGGAGGACATTCAAAAATGCACCATACCAGACACATATTCGTCTCCCCTCCTTTGTCCGCCTTCCGCAGCGACCGTTCCCTCCGGGACACCCCAGTCCACACTTCCTTCACCCCCAACACCTCCCCACAGCCCTACGGCACCTTCGCCTGTAACCGGCAAAGGCGCAACACCTGCCCATTTACCTCCTCCCTCTCCAGTATACAAAGGCCCAAACATACCTTCCAGGTGAAGCAACATTTCACCTGCACTTCCCAGAATCTAGTCTACTACATTCGCTCCTCACAATGTGATCTCCTCTACTTTGGGGAAACGAAGTGTAGACTTGGCGACCGCTTCGCAGATCATCTACGTTCTGCTCGCAAAAAAAACCCTGAACTATCTGTTGCCTGCAACTTCAACACGCCACCCTGCTCCCTGGCGAACATCCCTGTCTCTGGCTTGCTGCAGTGTTCCAGTGAAGCCGAACGCAAGCTGGAGGGACAACACCTCATTTTCCACTTGGGGACCCTACATCCCTCCAGACTCCATATTGACTTCAATAATCTTAGGGCCTAAACTCTCCCATGTCCCAGTCCCCTACCCCACACACCAGGTCTTGTTATCACGTAGCCTGCCATTACACACCCCCTGTTGTTAGTCACTAACAGTCCCCATTAACAACTGTTCACCCTCCCAGCCTGATGGTTAGCAACTCCTTTGTCTGTCCAACTGTCTTTCTCTCTCTTTGGGATCTATCCTATCGTTTACTCCCTAACCCACCCACCTCTCTATTTTCTGCATATAAACTGACGTTTTCTCAGCCACTATCAGTTCTGAGGAAGAGTCGCCAGACCCGAAACGTTAACTCTGTTTTCTCCTTCACGGATGCTGCCAGACCTGCTGAGCTTTTCCAGCAACTTTGTTTTTGTACCATACAGTAGAAGTCTGTTAAGTCATAGTTCAATATACTGCAAATTTGCTTAGAGCACAAGGGTCCCATGTCTCCAAAAAGAGGTAAATAGTTAGTTACATTTTCTTTTGCTAATAAGAGTTTTCTTATTAATGTGGTCCAGTATAAAGTTCCAACATCTGTGTCCTAACAAGCTTATAGTATAACAGAATATCAAACAGGCATTTCCCCAGTAGGATTGACAAAACTTTTAAATATTTATGCGCTGTTACTTTTCTCATTTTTAGCCTAATAGTTCTAAATGTAGCAGTTAATGGTTTACTGATTTTATGCATAACTAATACAACACAATTTAACCAAATAAAACTTATTATCTAATCTCATACATTTTAAGTTACCTTGTCACAGAAAATAGATTTTTTTTAACCGAAATCCAAGACTTGTGAAATTCATAAGCTGTTTAAGATATCCTCCATCCCAATCACACTAGAAACAGATGAGTTGAATAGCAAAGGTGTTTTCCCTAGGATAGGGAAGTTCAAAACTTGGGTTTAAGGTACTTGGGGAAAGATTTAAAAGGGACCTGAGGGGCAACTTTTTCACACAGAGTGGTAGATATACAGAATGAACTACCAGAGGAACTTCTAGAGGCAGGTACGGTTATGACTTTCAAAGGACATTTTGATAGACACATGAATAGGAAAGGTTTCAACGAATATGGGCCAAACGCAGGCAAATGGGACTAGTTCAGTTTGGGAAACCTGGTCGGCACGGACAAGTTAGACCTAAGAGCCTGTTTCCGTGTTGTATGACTGTGATTCTATAAATTATCTCAATTGATCATGTGTTGTGAACATTTAAATAATTTATTTCACAATTTTTTTTTTGTTCTTGAATGCACTGCCTTAAATGGTAGAGAAAGCAAATGTGGTAGGAACTTCGAAAGAAAAACATTTGGAGAGCTACTTGAAATGAAACATTTGGAAAGTTTAGGGAAGTGGAATTAATTTGATAGCTGTTTCATGAGGTTGAAGAGCTGAATGTTCTCCTTTGTTGCATCATTCTTTCTTACATGAACTGTATATTAAAGATTATTGCATTTCAGAACCGTTAACATTCATACCTTACAAGTTGCAGATGCTTGTATTCTGTACTGAACAAATAGTAAGCAAGTTTTATTAGCTAGTCAGGAAAAGTTACTTATCGAAAAACATTCAGTATGTTCTTTAGCACTATAAAATGATTTCTAGTGTGTTGAGTTGTAATGAGGAACAGTTGTCTTTATCATTAGAAAGAATGTGTTTCACAGCATTGCTCAATAGGGAATGACTTGCTTCTGTCTTCAGCTGGTCCCCTACCACTCAACTCTTCTCTTTGAATTAGAGTTGTGGATTCGCACCTTGCTCAAGAGCCTGAAATACTATGGCAGTATCTCAGGAAGTGCACTTTTTGAGAAGCTGTAAGAGGTGCTATTTTAAATTTAGCCTCATTTATCACCCTGAATGGAAATAAATAAATCTGTCACACCTTTGAACAAAACCAGAATGGTTCAACCCTGGTGTTTTGGCCAATAGTTATCTCCCATCTTCTATTACTACAAACAGATTACTTGATTGCATTTGGCCATTGTTACATTTCCTATATTACAATGGTAACATGTTTTAGAAATGTTTCATTAGCTGAAAGGTGCTTTGGAATGTCCTGGTGTCATGAAGGGTGTAAATTCAAGTTTTCTTTCTCGTATGTGTTTTTTTTATTCTTTTGGGTGTTTTTTCTCTTTTAGTTTTGACATTTTCTTCAAGTAAATGCTTCCATTTTTGCCCTGTTGTGGTCAGGGATAGGGAATAAAGAAAGTGTCCATTTCAATCAGACATGGGGAATCTATGTTTCTCTTCTGTATTATGACATCATTTCCTTAGCTTTAAAATAAAAAAAAGTATCCTTCATTTATACCAGTATGTTATTATCCATTAATTTTTTTTTAAAAAGTTGCAGATGCTGGAAACCTGGAACAAAAACAGAAATTGCTGGTGAAAGTTCTGATTGAGAGTCACCAGACTCAATGTTAACTCTGCTTTCTTCCCACAAATGCTGCCAGTCATGCTGAGTTTCACCAGCAATTTGTTTTTTTGTTATTTTCCATTTCCTGTGTTCGCCATTCATGTGCAGGTGCAGTCTCTCCTTCTCTCCTCTATATCTGTATGTCCAACACTGTCTAACATTTTCTGTCTGTCCCTTCCTGTCTCTTTCCCCTTCTAAATCTGTTTCTTCTGTCTTTGGGTGTTTCACTTCTTTTCTTGTTGCAGCCTCGATATGTGTCTAATTATGTCTAGTATGAAGTGCCTTGAGACACTTTACCACATTAAAGTTTTTAGAGCATAAGACATAGGAGCACAAGTAGGCCATTCAGCCCACCAAGTCTGCTCTGCCATTCAGTGAGAACATAGGTGATCTCATAATTTCTCACCTCAACTTTCCTGCCTATTTCCCAAAATCCTTGATTCCTTTTCTTATTAACAGTCTGATTATCTCAACCTTGAATATACAAAACAACTCAGCTTCTACTAAAGAAGCGGTAAAGAATTCCACAGATTCATTGTTGTCTGAGAAGAAATTCCTCCTCATCTCTGTCATAATTGGGCAACCTCTTACTCTGAGATTATGGTCTCTTGTTCTAGATTCCCTCACGATGGAAAGCAACTC